CAACTATGGACAGTGTCTGACGACACCGTCCCGTACACACACTAACAATCATGTCAATCACTTTGCCAGTTTTTATTCCGCAATTAATCTTGAACATTTCAATTGTGGGAGAAAATTCCGTTTATGCGCATGCCTAAAAAGGATGAACACGGAGATGTGTTTCTGCGCGTGCGTATATATGAAAAGTGTTCATCCCACAATCATAAGACAATCAAACAGCATTCAAAAGAGACCAACACAACACGCGTGATTCCTTCGGCTACCATGTAATTACAAACTAAACACATGCTTTGAGGGAAATTAGTGATTAAATAACCCCGCAAACCTCGGGAGGTTTGGTAAAAGTTCCTCGGGCTACGCCCTCAGACTTTTACTAAACTTCCCTCGGTTTGCGGGGTCATTTAATCACTAATTTCCCTTAAAGCATGCGTTTACTTATAATAAATCCGAAATCGCCCAGTCTTGTGCGAACGTAATCTCAGAGGTTGTTTATACTGTAAAAATCCGAGCAGGCCCGGTAAGCGAGACAAATATTGACATGCGAAAACCCTGGTCAAACGAAGATAAGAGTTGATGAGAATTGTTCGAAAAGAGTTTTCTCAACTCTTACAGTATGTCCCGGTCAAACGTGAACAAGATTTGCACGAGAGCAGGCTAGATATTACCAGTCAAAGGAGCAAAAAATTTTGAACGACTTCAAAGTTGATAATAGTTGATGAGAGTGCGTGAAAGTTGATAAGAGTTGTCAGTCAAACCCGAGCAAGGTTGCAATTCTCGTCTTCTCTCATCCTCGTTTCACTGGGGCTTAATGAGAATTTTCATCCTACTTAAGCTTGTTAAAACGATTTGGATGTTTTGTCAAGCAGGCGGCGGTTTGTTTTTGTACTTTCATCCCGGCAACCGGGCCAGCTCGGTGTTTGATAGTATGTGGTAGAATTTTCAACCTGTGGCTGCAGAGATCTCGTCTGTTTAAAGTGAAATCTATGCAACCGGGCTAGTCCAATTTTCCATATAAACGCAAGGTAAACTATGATACTCTGTATCTCGCCTACCAACCTGTTCTGGTAACCGGACCAGCCCGGCTTCCATTTAAACAACCCCTCGCAAGAGCAGCGTGAGAAGACGAACGTTAATTGTAAAAATGTCACATTATTCCATTTCATTGTCACGAGGGTCACGAGCTTCTCGAGCCTCCAGCCCATTTCGAGCCAATGATCTCCTAACTATTCTCTCGCACTGACGTGGTGTAACCTCGTCCAAAGCTGTGATATCAACTGACGAGATTAACCCTACATCCTCCTCTTCTGGGGTATCTGGTTGTGGAGTTTCATTTCGCAATACACGACGCATTACTTCAGCCGCTTCGGGTAATGTAGGCAAGAAAGACATCTGTCTCGCCGCGTCGGTGAATGACTCTATTTCTCTGTCATTATATCTCACACGTACTGTACGGTTGTTGTTTAACCGCAAATTGTTGTGAAGACTTTCGGCAAGTTGATCAACGGTTGCATGGCTATCGGTTGCAAGTGTTAAATGGATATGATCATCTACATAGCCCATTAAATTTTCATTCTCGACTTCCTCACGGGTCAAAAGGACTATAACCTAAACAAAAACAGACAGCTTATTGAATATTGCGGAGCCCTGCAATATTGAGTTGATATATTGGAGTTGGCAGCCTGTGATTTCGTTCGTCAGTACGCATTTGATTGGCTAATCGTATATAATCGTATATGAAACGCATCAGATTGGTTAATAACTTAATAGTTCCTTCATGCCGTAGCGATTGTAGTACAGAATTAATTAAATACCTTATAGCCTTATTCGTACTTAATTTCCCGCAACATAAATTTCGCGATGTGGATATACACTCAGAGTAACATCACAAACATCATATTCACCTGAGTACATACCAACACAGAAAAAAAATCATACTGCGGATTCAGGTAGACCGTGAAATGCGAATAGTTGTTGCTTTAGTTTTAACAGTTGTACGATGACGTTTCTAGGCAGATTTTCGACGTTTCTAAGGCGTGGCTTCAACGTTTATTTTTAAAATTTGAACGTTGTTATTACAACGTTCAAATTTTAAAAATAAACGTTGAAGCCACGCCTTAGAAACGTCGAAAATCTGCCTAGAAACGTCATCCAACAACTGTTAAAACTAACGCGACAACTATTCGCATTTCACGGTCTACCTGAATCCGCAGTATTACTAGATTACATTGGTATCGAAGGAACTAGATTCTGTTCCGAAATATCACTTACTCGAACCGTCCTGACCGCGTAGCTCAGTTGGCAGAGCATTGGGCTACTATTGGCCAACACAGAAAAAAATCTTAAATAATAAAATTCTTGACAAATATGACCATGCACCAACTTGTACAGCGGCTCATATATCGACATAAGTAACAAATTATTTAAGAAATAGAAAACGAGTCACGTGCGTTTATGGTGTGATAACGCACGCGGGGAATGTTGGGAGAATACGAGAGAAGCGTGTAAAACACGAGGCGTAGCTGAGCTTCTTCTGCATTTAAACAGCCATCTAAATATTTGGATTGCCACTTGAAAATTGACAAAAAACATGTCTTTGCGCCACCAAAAGAGATTCACCTCCATGTAAATAATACATGAGGGATGAATCCGATCCAGCATGATCTGGTACGGGGGCTGCTCTGGTGCAGAATTGTGTCGGTCGTGTGTGCTGCTCGCCCATCAACATACTGCAGTTGAACTGTAATTGTTGTTCACAGTTTGCTTATCATCATGTTATTGCTCAAATTACTGTATCTCATTTTGTCTCTATTATTTTTTGCTTTGTCATGAAAATAGCACCCCCTGCACCCCTCCTGCCAGGGCTAGGGGGTGCCCCCAGTAAATCAATCCCTGAAATAATAACCTAATATTAAGGCCATGTTACACAAATAGGCAGTATTGCTGCAATTTGCAGTGCAAATTCTGATAAAAGGCCATATGATTTAAAAAATAAGTCACAGGGAAATTGTGAGCATGGACCACAGTTTACACTACCTACATTTTTTATCCCATTTCTTTCATCCGTTTAGAGTAAGTTATATTGTAAAAAAAAGTGTACAATGCAATTAACATCATGCAGGTACTAAATATCTTAATATAGTAAGTGCAACCAGCTAATTTTAGATTGGCGTTAGCTTGGATGCTGCTTCATTGATTGGCATATTAGGCCAATCGGACAACCAAACACCAGACCAAGGATTTTTCACTTAAATCAATCTGGCTCTTGCCTTGGTTTCTATTAACACTCGGTCCACAATTATCATGCTGAAATATATTTTATCTTGTTAAATTTCTCAGTTATTAAAATTTACATCCTATGTAGGGCAACTTGGTCCTACTTCTGACAACCATGAATTGCCCTGATTGTACTTTTAATAATACAATGATGTGAAGAAACCACTTTGTGCCGTCATTTAATAGAACATAATAGACAGTACTTGATAATTGTATACTATCTTAAATAATTATGCCAGCCAGCCATTAACAATTATTAAAACTAGGTACGCAGTGCGTACATGTTGCATGCCATCTGAAATTTATGATGCGCTATAGCCTATAGCGCTTTACATAACCTTTTGTACAACTGGCGTCAGTGGCGTGCACGCCCCCTCCCCCCCCAGCTGGCAATTCTTGGTGGGCGCAAAAATGAAAATGCGGCGCCGAATTTTGAAAGTAGGTGGGAAAAAACGCATTCTCGAAAAAATATGGTTACTTCTGCCAAGAAAAGACGTGTTTATAGGCTACAGTATAAAACAGACTAAGCGCATAGGCGACATATATTAAATTACAGACTATTTTGCCTAACAGTATTTGCTACCTCACAGCTCACACGAAATCGTTCATATAGAAACATGATCAGTGATCACAGGCAATGTCTCATTACCGGAATATTGGTCAGGTTTCGATCGAAGCGATCACGGGAATTATGCCCTTTTTTGCTGGTATTATGCCCATATATTATGCCCTATATTATGCTTCACGAATTACGAGAGCGGCGCAAATTAGATAGTTGAAGTTATGATAACTGATGTAAAGTTGTGTACGCAATTTAGTAGTTTGCACAAGAAGCATGAGTAATGTAAGTAATGAAATAATGCTGAAACATGCCCTTTTGGCAAGGAAAACTTAAAATGCATATGCGTGGGGTGCATGTGTTATTGTATAAAAGAGCTGTAAGTTGTAAATGTGTTCAGAACAGTAGATCAGTAGAGAACAGAATTGGGATTAGATTAATCGCTGGAAGTAGTTAGCATTGCATAATTTAAGTACTACTACTAAATTCTAACCAAATTGCAAATTTCGACACGTTATAATGCCGTTTCCTGACCGTCGGATTTCTGTCAAATCTTCCCCCAAAGTCCAGGAAATGGCATTTCAGAGACTCTAAATTCAGGGGGGGGCATGCCCCCGGACCCCCTAGACAAACCTCGCACCTGCGGCACTCGGCTCGTGCCTTCGGCCCTCGTTTATCAAGCGTAACATTATAGGGGCGCATATTGGTTGACAGCCCTCTGGCCCCTCCAGAAAAATAGTGCCCAGCACGCCATTGACTGGCGTGAAACTTAAAATATTGATTCAATAAGTTTAATATCAATATATTTATTGAAAAATAGCTATTATGTCAAAATAAGAAAACTTAAGATTCTCACGTGAATTAGCCTACGGTGTAGAACCCCAGCAGAAACACGCGAATAGGCAATGTTTTTATAAGCGACCGTTAATATTTAGTTGCAAGCGACGGTAGTAACATTAACAAGGTCAAGGTGGGTCAAGGTTTTATCGAAAGCGATTGACTGTTAGATTTCCTTCACAAATTTATAACTAAATAACGTTATTTCCTTTAGATTTAGCTTTATTGTAACTTTTTAAAGGTATAAAAAAACCCGTGGAAACGGTGAATTACTATAATAGATTGAAAATTATTATTATTTATCATTTTGACATTTGAGTGATTGAATTGAGTTAATTTACACTATATCGAATGTCATGTTGAATGACATGTTGAATCTTATGCGTACTTTACAATGGTTGCTATTTCGTTGTATTAAATTTCAAGAGTATTACTGTCGGGATTCGCTTAACCCGGCAAATAACTCACGTTTGTTCAGTTTATAGTTTACTTTATTGCTGATACTATGTTCTCGTTTTTCACCTACCAAATACATGTCAACAACTATTTTACTACCAAATATCAACCTAATTATTACTAAATATGCCAAACTCGCGACACTCTCCCCCTATTTTATACTGTATGTATTAAATATGATCCTGTCCGTAATGTAAACCTTATTAACTAGAATTTTATGAATAAATTTACTGTATCGTTCAAATGGTTAGTTCCTCTTGATTTGCAATCTCTTTTATCATATTCCTAGCGACTACGGCTGCCTTTCTAGGATTAAATTCTCTTGCTCTGGGATTAAGTTCCGTAACTTCCTCCGTCTTATGTGGTATATCACATGATAACTCCATTGGACATAGTTGCTGCACCGCTCTCTCAATAAATGACTTCCCAGCTCTTAACCTTACCGCACGTACAACACCGTCTCTTCCTTTAATCAGCTTCACTACCACCCCGATGTTCCATTTTCCTCGATTCCGTTCATCCGATGTTATTAATACCACGTCTCCAGGTTTGATAGAGAGTTGTTTGGTCTTATGGTTAAGGTTATGTCTCTCTCTCAAGCCTTTCACGTACTCTCCAGACCATCGGGACCACAATTCATCATTGCAACGCCGTAGATATCTTGCTCTTTTTCTCAGATTACCGTCTTCGATTGATTCGATATCTTCCTCTGGCAATAGATTGGACTGTTCGAACATCATTGAATTTGGAGTTAAAACGGGTAACTGAATGTCATCCTCGACGTATGACAATGGGCGATTATTCAGTGCGATTTCGACATCGAGTATCACTTCTTCGAATTCGTTCCATGTTAATTTAGCACGTCCGCTCGACTTATACAATCCTCGTTTCACTAGCCCCGCTAGTCTCTAGAATTGTCCTCCCCACCAGGGAGCTCTGCTTAAATTAAATTGCCATTTTATGTACTGGTGGGCGAGATAATTTTGAAGCTTCTCATCTTTCTTGATCGCTCTGAGCCACTTCGCTGCAGCTACAAAACTTTTGGCGTTGTCGGAATAGATTTTACTAGGTCTACCACGTCTAGCCACAAACCGCTTTAAACTTCTGATGAATCCCTCAGTCGTTTGATCTTTTAAGAGCTCGAGATGGATGGCTCGGGTAAGACTACATGCGAACAACAGGATATGAGCTTTGCCGTTTTTCGTCAAACTAATCTTGTATTCCATTGGTCCCGCATAGTCGACACCGATTACTTGGAAAGGAGTCGAACCAATGGTCCGGTCTGTTGGAAGATTTGCAGGTGGTGGACTGTGGAACGCAGTGGCACGGAATTTCTTGCACCCGAAGCAATTGTTGATAACTTTCTTTGTTAACTGCCTCAATCGTGGGATCCAATAGTCACGTCTAACCAAAGTCATTGTGAGGCCAACTCCCCCGTGCAGAGTCACGATGTGGGCGTCTTCAACGATCTTCTTAGATAAACGTGCCGCAGGTGGTAAGTATAGAGGAAATTCTCCTTGAATGCGACCACGGCACTCGTATAACTCAGCTGAGTTCAGCTGTAAGTTCAGTCTTAATTTGTCTTCTTGAAACTCGTCTGTACCGCTGGAGCTATATTGAACTCTCTTGATCCACCACTCAACTTGTTGATGT